ATGTCTAAAACTATACACAATTCAGAGGCAAATAAGAATGTATAGTGTCAAAAAAAAAAAAAAAAAAAAAAAAAAAAAAAAAAAAAAAAAAAAAAAAAAAAAAAAACAACAACAAAAAACTGGCAGTTTTTTCTTTTAAGAAAGGGTCAACTTTACTTGACCTGTAATAGGATATGCAGCTTCCCACACACAGTTTGTACATTCTTTTATTAAAATTAGACATATTGAGAAAGAAATACATAGATTTCAAATAATTTCTGGGATAAAAATATTTTACTCTCAGATGAGTATAGTATATCTTTAACATGCTCCGGGCGGATGAACGTTAACTTGTATTTTACAGTATCATCCTTGAACAGGCTCATTCAAACCAAGTCTGCAACATTTTCAGTTTTGCTGTTTTGGGCGTTTTGTAGAGATTTTATTTGCACACAAAAATGGTTTTATATAAGAGGAATATTCTGGAGTAAGTTTTGCCTAGAAATGTCAAGAACTGTGTACTCCAAATTTGTTACATAAGAGGGAATATTTGGAGCTAGTTTTGCATAAAAATGTCAAGAACTGTGAAATGTCAAGAACTGTGTACTCCAAATTTGTTACATAAGAGGGAATATTTTGGAGCTAGTTTTGCATAAAAATGTCAAGAACTGTGTACTCCAAATTTGTTATATAAGATGGAATATGCTTGAGCTAGTTTTGCATATTAATGTCAAGAACTATGTACTCCAAATTTGTTATGTAAGAGGGAATATGCTGGAGCTAGTTTTGCATAGAAATGTCAAGAACTTTGTACTCCACATTTGTTATATAAGATGGAATATGCTGGAGCTAGTTTTGCATAGAAATGTCAAGAACTATGTATTCCAAATTTGTTATATAAGAGGGAATATGCTGGAGCTAGTTTTGCATAGAAATGTTAAAAACTTTGTACTCCAAATTTGTTATATAAGATGGAATATGCTGGAGCTAGTTTTGCATAGAAATGTCAAGAACTTTGTACTCCACATTTGTTATATAAGAGGGAATATGCTGGAGCTAGTTTTGCATAAAATGTCAAAACCGTGCACTACAAATTAGTTATCTATATAAAAGTGAATATGCTAGAGCATTTTTTGCAATAAACATCCAAACCTGGGTTCTCCAAATTTGTTATATAAGATGGAATATGTTGGAGCAAGTTTTGCATAAAAATGTCAAAACCCGCGAGTACTCCAAATTTGTCATACAAGAAGGAATATGTAGAAGCAAATTTTGCATAGATTGTCAAAACCTGAATACTCCAAATTAGTTATATAGGAAGATCAAATATGCTGAAGAAAGTTTTTGCATAGAAATGTAAAAAACTGTGACTCCAAATTTGCTCTTGGGAAAACGCACCATTTGGAGCTGATCTTATGAAGGAATTGTTACTTTCTTTACGGAAAGTAAACACATATTGAATAACATTGGTTGTATATAGTGTGAGGTAAGAATAGCAGGGGCTGAGTACATATACAAGAAAGAAAACAGAATGTGAGTATACACTGTTTTTACAATACTCTAGAAACACTTCGAAATACCCTGAACATTGTAAGTTGATAACTTTCAATATTGGTACCTGCTTGAGACAGTTCAATAATGAAATTTATATTGAATAATTCTTTACCTGTATATCTCACTGACAATGTCGAATGTAAAGAACTTGCTTTCATTTTTAAGAAAATGACATGTCATTCGAAATGGAAGAACATGAAATAAGATATGAAAAGTTTTTAGTGAAGAAAATAAATATTTAATCACTCAAATATTTTTCTATCCAGAATTTTCTTCCACTGAAAGGTGTATATAGACATAGCTTAATGCATAATTAAATACATGTTTGATGTAGTTCGCATGCATTGAAATTTTTGCTCAAGCTAACTACAGTAAAACATAGAAAATAGATAAATGAATTAATGAATATAATAAAATAAACTAATAAGATTGAAAAAAAAAAAAAAAAAAAAAAAAAAAAAAGTAATCATTTGCACTTGTCTTTCACTTTTGGACAAACCTACGAAACAAATGTTTTACCATTCATTACAATAATGATAGTTTATACAAAGCTGTACAAGTGCAGTATTTTAGATGGTTTAGATAAGGTTTTACTGTGTACATGTACTACATCTTCAGATAAATCTCTCACTGGACCCTCTCAGTGAATTGTTTTTGTTATGGTTTATCATCAGACTTATCCCTGGGAAAACAGCAGGTACTAATAACCGTGCCTGGTTTGTAGGTCAAACATATGTCTTAATTTCATTTGTTTGTTTGCAAGGAGGGGTTGCTAATTAACCTTCACTGTGTTATAATCCATGGCACTATAATTGTGTCGGACCTATCAACAAAATCTTGATTGTGCTAGGGCTGTCAAAGTGTCATTAAAATTGAAACAACAAGTTTCAATTAAAATATTAATTATATCATGAAAACTGCTATTTAGTCTATGAAATATTTCTACGGTTGATGAGCGCATTTATATTTGTAGTCTGCATGTTAATAAGTCAACTAAAAATGTTATAAAATTTGAAAAAGAAATGGCAGATTAGTTTAAATAATATGTCAGTATATGTAGATGTGGTACAGTACTCGTCATTGCCCGGGGAAAGGAAAACACTAAGCAGTTTATTCTACCAAATGGCATGGTCATAGAATTACTTGTTTGGGGTTTTGTTTTCAAACAACTGAATAAGTAAGTGGTGATAAGAGATGCAGCCATTTGTTTTGGTAGTTTTCATTATCATTTTTTAAATAAATAAATAAATAAATCATTTGATGACTTAGTTAACCCATTAATTGATTGATTGATTCCGAACAAAAATAATAATATTAATAATTCAGGAAATATGAACAAATTCATTTGTTTGTTTCATTATATTCTATCCTGTATCGAGTGGAATCGAAAACGTGAACCATAGAAACATGTACTGTAACTGCAATACAGAGCTGATTTTGAAAATAATATACATGTGTTTATTGAAGAAAACATGTAATGTGAGTTCTTCACATATATACGTCTTTCGCATTATATAATTGCGAGAGAGATGTTTGAAAGGTTAAAAAAACCACAAAAAAAAAAAACAAAGAAAAAAAACACATGTCATATGTGGTTTTTATGGTATTCTAATCTTTATTAGATATTTGTGATGGAAATCCGTGATACCTCTTCCTTTTAAAGAAACAGATTAAGCCTCAGAAATAATCACAATTTCCATTAAAAAAGGGGGAAAATGCATTTTATACTGTTGTCATAATGCATTAAAAACATGTGATTTACTTATAATCTAACTTTAATCTGAAGTAAATATAGTGCAGAATGTGAAAAAAAAAAAAAAGGAATGTAAATAATATAAACGAATAATGGCAGGTTTAGGCTTAATGGGCAGATCAGTTATTTCAAAACACTGATTTTGCAAGATATCAGAATCATGCCTAAAGAAATTATAATTAAAAGCATAAATGTGTTGCTTTTAAACCATAGAAAACTTCGAACATCACTACATGTGAAAGAATTTTATGCTACACGTATATGTGTATACCATTTAATGTCAAACTTGTTTGCAATTTTCTGTTTACAATAAGCAATATAAATTATGCAATGTAACATTGCAGCAGGGCTATTGCAGCAAGCCTAATGACCTTTTCCGCACAGTAGAAATAGGGAATAGTATTCTTTTATAATGATTGTTACTTTTACAGCATTTTATGTATATGGCTATTGCATACTTTATTTTGTGCATTTTTGAAAAGTTAATAGTCGTAGATTGAATACGTAATCATTTTACTTGGTTATGAATTCTTAACGACTTGTCAAAATGCGAGCATGGTCTCTAAAATCTCATTAACCCTAGGTGGTCCAGTGCAGTAGAATTAATAAATTAAACGAGACTTACCTGGAAGTTGAAGTTCAATTATTATTCTACTGCTACTGGACCACAGGGTTTAATGCCCACCCGGTTACCCCTCCCATATGTATAAGCCATTGTCGCATTTTGCATAATTATGTATGCTCTGAAAGTCTGCTTGGTCATCTGATAAGATCATATGTTCATCTCATTAAACCCTGTGGTCCAGTAGCAGTAGAATAATAATTGAACTTCAACTTCCAGGTAAGTCTCGTTTAATTTATTAATTATACGTCATTATTTTCACCTACACCTTAGTCTTTATACCTTAATCTAACATTGAGCGGCGGCGTGCCCGAGTTGATAACGCGTCGGACCAGTAAACTAGTGAGGATTGCGGATCGCGTGGGTACAAACCCCGTCCTTGAGTAAGAAATAAGAAACTGATCTAACGCTTCAATAGCAAAGTTAGAATTTCAAATTTGCTTAGGTCACTTTTAAACTTAGCTAAATGTGATGCCAACTAGGGATTTTAAATACATACACTTTTGGCGAAGTACGATTTTCAATAGAGAAAAAAATAGAATACTTCTTTCACCGAGCCATTGTATTTTAACACAGATTCTATAAGTTAATTACAGTTAATAACATATATCTATTACAAAAGGTAAAAGTAGTTACATTTAAAGTAATTATAGCAATCTTCTATTGTTTTGTCTATTTGGCCTCTTTTAAATGAATGAAACAATAATATAAAAAAGCTTAAAATAAATAAGTTAAGTTATTTAAAATATTTTTGAATTTAGGATATACTTTTAAATTTCACTTTAACAAGGGATTTATAACGTTCACAACCATGTGAAGGTGTGTTTAAGTTTTTCTTCTTATTTCGAGTAAAATTGTTTCTTTTGTCTCCTCAACATTTGTTGAAAATTTTATTTTATTTTTAACAAATCTGTACAAGCTTTAATTTTTTTCTGTATTTTTTTTCTTATGTGGAACTTTATAATTTCAAAAACGGCGTCAGTTTTAATTTTATAAACAATTTAATTACGCACTCATTTATATTATATTACACTGTCTTACTATAAAACAACAAAGATAGGAGTTTTATTCAGTAAAATATTTCAGGTGCAACAGTAGAAATGACTAATACAACAGAAACCATAACAACAACAACACAGCCAAGTGGTACAATAACAATTCCAGTATGGATTATATATGCTTTTGTTATCCCTATCGTGTGTATAGCTGCAGTTGTCGGACTGATTGCTCTGATACGATGGATTTGCAGGTAAGAGTGTTTTTTATTATATAATCTGAACCTATTCTTTCAAAATATATCTAAGAATTAAAAAAAACTCTAATTGTAATTACATTGTATAACTTTATATTAACTTTATTTACCTTTTTGTAGGGATTCCTTATGTAACATAAAAGACAATGTACTCTCATTTTAGTAAAAGAGCGGCGTCTGTTTTACCTGTAATTGAGCCAGAAGAAAAGCGTATTGTCAATGATTTGAAATGCAATTTAGAACAGAAAAAACAAAACGAAGTGAAGGACCCGTTTCAACATTTCACTGTTTCAAATGAATCGGATAATAAACTTTCCAAAAAGCCAAAGAAAGCAGTAAATTGTATAAATAAAAAAGACGTATCCAAAACACCCGCAGTAGATACCAAAATTTGTAAAATTAAAAAGAAAAAAGTGAAAGCCATAGCTATCAAAGAAGAAGAAAACATAAAAGAACAGTTAGATGGTGATGCGATAAGCGAAAATGCTTTCAATCATTTGAAAGAATCTGAACCAACAGTATTTGAAGGACAAATACCACCTCCTAACATTCGAAAGTCACGTAGTCAAAGTATGAATAATACACTGAAGCTGAATAGTAAACCAAAGAAATCTCTCATCAAGCCAGAACCTAATTTGGAACAGACATTAACTTTAAGAAGACAAAGAAAACCCAAAGAATCGGCCAAGAAAAGAAATTTAAATATAATAAAAAGCAAATTGAACAGGCCAGACTTAGAAGACACCGATGAAACATCAACAGACACAAATACATCAACTGTCCCAGTTGACACTGACGAGGAAAGCGTTATCGATACAAGTATTGTTCAAAGTGGAGATGAAGACTTCATAACTGATGACGAAGATTCTGCGGCTGATGTTACTAATGTGCGATCTTCAAATAATCACACTTTGGATAACGATGTCATAAGAGAAAACCAGATAATACATATGTCTCAACAAGTCAAGCAGATGCCGGACCTCTCTGATTCAGAAATTTCTGGTAAGGTTGTTGAATGTCAAGAAAGCTTACAGGACAGGGTAACACGAAGTACACACTTAGAATTAAGTTCGTTAAAAGATTTTAATTCATCTGTCAAAACACAAAAAACAGTTGGTAAAGATCAAATATTTGCAGTTGACTTGAAATTAGAAAATAATTCTGCTATTGAGATGGAGCAATGTGTAGATGCAAAATTTAAAGAGACGAAAATATTAGATGTAATCAAATACGAGCATGTTCCTCGAGAGGGCCCGATAGCATCAAGCTCTTTCAAAGTTCGTGATAATGATAAAAACGAATTCAAAAACAAACAAACTGATCATATAAATGAAACAAGTTTCAGTTGTGATTTAGGTCCAAAAGGGGCAGATGAACAACAACCTGTAATTGACAAAAAAGAAAGAAATTATCTACAGTTCAAAGAGGCTGTTATGAACAATGGCAGTATTAATTTAAATAGGTCAATGTCTTTGAATGAAGGGGAACAATTAAAATCTTATATAAAAAGCAAACGACGAAAGAGAAAATATCAGTCATTACGCCACGCAAAGAGAGAATCTGTATTTGATGCTTTACAGACACTTGAAAAGGCACCAAAGAAGGGGATATTGAAAAAATCTCAAAGTTTACATGTTAACGAAAGACCAAACAAATTAGATACAAACATTAAGGAAATTACGCCGACTACGGGACAATTGGTTTTAGAGAAATGTAAATTTCACAGTGAAAATGAAATTGAAAGTACAAACGAAGCAAAAATCCCTGACGCATTTAAAACAACTGAACAATCGGATACGACTGATATTTGTGAGATATTGTCATCAAATCTTCTAACAACGATTGACAGGGTTACTTCAAACGATGACACACAACTTGACACCCCAAATGGATTTGGAGAGTCGTCATCCGAAATGTTTGCTGGAAAGCCAACCCCTTCCCAATTTCTGACCGAGACAAATCTTAATGCTGATAAATTTTCAGAAAGCGACAATGAAGAACAAATTAATCAAAATGAATCAACATATGAAGGAGAGAGAAATGAATTTGTATCATCTGAGAGGCGATCTGGATCCGGTAGTTTAATGAATCAAAACATTATCACTAACGAAATAGGACCATATAATGATTACCAGATGGAAAATATAATAGATGAGTCAACGTTGAAATATAATTCCACATTGCATCAAACGTCAATGTCTGAACCAACAAGTGATAATCACCCTGAGAATAAATTAGAAAACAATGAAAACTTGCTTTATTTTAAATCACATAATAATGAGATGAATTTGAAACTGAAAATTGTTACGCATGACGAAAGAGATCAGAAGCTACAAGATGATGGTAGTTTTGAAAGGGACCAAATGCATTCAAAAGAGCCTGACAATGACCATAGCATGAATCCGTCTCCAACAGTTAAGACTAATCAAAAAATAAACAAAAAACTTTGTATGCCAGGACATTCTTTAGAAAGTGATAGCTCCTTAGAGTTAATTGAAATACCATCCGCGTCACCAGGCATTGATGATATAAGGGGTAAACTAAATGAAGATTCTACTATCAAACAAACTATTAACCTACCTGTTGTTACTCTAAATGCAAATGTAAAGGAATTTGATTGTGAACAAATATTTAAAAAGGAAGAATTGTCAAATGTTCCCAGTGCAAATGTTTTTGATGCTTTAAAGGAGACGCCTTTGGAATTAAAAAAACACGACACCACAAGCGTCGATTTTCATAATCACAGACAGTCCCATGGAAATAATACAAAGAACATGTCGTTGTCGAGTCAACATAGCAGTATTGCATTAGGACTTCGAGAAAGGCCAGCAACTCCACATTTGTCAAGTACTGATATGAATTCAAAGTCAATTGTAAACAATTCTTCAAATTTACTTAATAAAGTCTTTCGGCACAAATCAAATCCTTCATTTGACAGGGCTCACCTTGAATTGTTACAATCGCACAAATCAAACGTAAATCAGCTAAACAAAAGAAATATATCGCAACCGCTGTCACCAATTGTAAAGGAAGATGAACCTAAAAACATTTCTTTGACTTTACCACCTAACTTAGGTGGAAACAATATGCCACTAGAAACTTCCATACGAGAAACAACGGCACAAAATGCTCCTCTTGAAGAAAAGTTATATTCGAACAAAGCAGATAAGTATACAAGCAAGCAAATAAAATCACATCGGTCAAAGAGTTTTATTCCGACAGCACAGATGGAAGATGAAATGACAAATGATGTCGAAACTTTACGTGCAGGTGTTCTAAGCCCGATTAAAATGAAAAATAAAAGTACCATTGAAAAGAAATCATTGGATACAATCATTTTTGCGGGGACTTCCACAAACGGCATTAACCAGCACAACAAGGAGCATGAAAGAATCCGATCGCCTGTATTTAATGTCAGGAATAACGATATTCGGATACGATCAAAAACACCATCTGCAGAATTAGAACGTGTCGGCAGGAATCTGAACGATCCGAAACGCTCTAAAACTCCGATGCCCGTGCCTTCTTACTTTATGAAACAGTCTGAGGGAACAGTTGCTAAACCATTTCTTACTCATCCGCTCTCAAAGTTAAAAACGGGATACAGTACAAATACTAATATGGAAACATTTAGCAGAAATGTTCCCTCCGTTCTTGAAGAAAAACGCAAAGCTGGAGCCTCTTTTCGTCGAAGCATGAAAAGATTTCCCAATAGAAATGTTCCAGTTTCCGACAATACTAAAACAAATGAACATACACTTCTATATAGGAGGGAGAAGGAAACGAATGTTTTGGATGAAAAAGTGGAATTCAAAAGAATATCTGTCAGAGAACGCCCTAAATCTGCCATGTCAATGCGTTCTGCACCTAGAATGACCTCACAAGACAATGTGACACCGTTTCCAAGAAAGTTTAGGACAGACAAAAGATTAAGACAAAAAACAGGAGAACATAGGCGCTCTATTACACCTACATTGACACATAAATCAACTGACATCAGAAGGCCGAGTTCACGTGCAGAATCTTGTAATGTCCAACAAGCAAACTATGATCTAGATGAATCTGACAGTGAACTGGAGGCATTCTTTGCTAACCCAGATGTTAAAAGTTTGCAATTCGGGAACAAAGACCTCCTCAATAATGGTTATACCCGCAGTCACAGGACCGTGTTTTCAACTTTTAGCAAGAGAAATGATCTTGCAAAAAGCAAATCATTCAAAATGTAAACAAGACTTCTTGCATTTTATGTATAAAGCACTTCAAGGAAGGGAATTAATTACCATTTCTTATGATGATTTGTTTGAAATCTAATTTTTTAAATTGATCATCTAGACCAATGCATTTAAAAATGCATTTTAAATAACGATATATCGTTGAAATCAGAGTAACACCGAGACATGGAATTCCATCCGGGGTAATGTTTTATTTCAAATAACACAAAAAGAGCAGTTGCAGAAAATATCAACCACGTGACATTCTTTACAATTACAACGATTTTATGTACAGCTTTAGGTAAAATTGACACACATACCTTAGAAATTGAGTTTTTATTTTGTAATATAGTATCGATAACTTTCTTCTGAATAGTTCGTGTAATTTATTTTATTGCTTGCCAAATAATGAAAAAAAAACATCGACGGGTAAAGCTAATGTTTTCAAAGTTAATGAATATCATAAAATTTTATTTGCACAAAACAAAGGCATATCGTTTATGAATCGCCTCTTGTCAAACTCGGATCTGCTTAAGCTTTATTGTTAACGCATAGAAAATAAGAAGGGAAGCTAGATCTTTTTTCATTTGTGTAAAATAACTTGAGATTTATTATGTTATTTGAAAATTAATTTTAAGTCCCTAAAATAAATTTATGTAGGTTCTACAAAAATATTTATATTTGTGTGTAAGTTTGAATTATATTGACATCACAGCCTATCAATAGTATTCATATATATACCAGTAATCAAATATAACACTAACGGTCCTTATTCAACTCAAAAACGAGAAATTATATTTTGTAACATTTCTAATAATCTTATAATAATTTTTACAATATCAGGTTACATGTAAATATAACTCGAAAACTTGAAACATTGATCATTACTCTTAATTACAGTTGTCAAATATAATTTGCACAGTTTTTCGGATAATTTTTTACTATTTAAAGCTATTGGACTTCAACACGTTATTAAGTTAGAAAAAAAAATTAGTTATATTTTTTAAATTTTTGATAAACCCTCAACTAAATTTTATCTTCTGCAATGTTTTATACGTGAATAATTCAATTTGGAAAAAGCAAAGTTTTTTAAATTTTTTAACACTTTTAGAAAAAAGAATTTTGTTTGTATTATGTTATTCATGTTTTTACTAAAAAAGTAATACATTGTTATTCTTTATTTAATCTAATTTGGTGAAAACTAGTTGAGTGTCATTTGGATAATGCACAATCAAAAGTCGTTACACTAAAAACTGCGATTTTAATGCAAGAACATGACATAATCAGATATGAGACATGTCTAAAAATTTCGTTTACTTAATGTGGAGGATGACATATTTATATTAAGGAGTTGTATTAATTTCACAATTTCGAATGTAAATAGACGAGGTTGAATGTGTGAAAATAAAATTACATGCATGTATCGGAAATATACCCACGCGATTTTGATATATTTATAGCTGAAAAAATGCTTATTTAAATACCTTAAATATCATTTTTAATTCAATCAAATAATTAAATTCAAAAAGCATTATATCAGTAAATCATGTTTATAACAAATCAACCGCGTTCATTTAATAAAAAGTTTGATTAGTTATAAACCTGTTCTGTTCTATATTCAATATAAAACTTATAAATCTATATTATCTAATTCTCTATTAAGTTAATTTATTTTCATTTTTTGCTCGGTGATCATATTTTGTAAAATGATTTTAAGGTTTTATAAAAGAGAAAAGAGAGTTGTGGTTATAGGTAAACAGTTGGAAGTCGATAATACTGGTTAACGTTGCACATTTATCGCCATCTCATATAAAACACATATACATGTATTCATTAATCATGATCTATTAACACTCTCCTTGTGAAAATATACAAAAATCTGTACATGGTAGAGTAGATTATATATACGTATGTACATGTATAATAAACAGAACCTGTATTTATTGATAAGAATCATACTAATGTGTTTTTGGCCACCTGTCTGTCAAAAGATATAAACTTTGAGCAACCGTTATGTAAACATAATCAAACACTGTTTACAAAGAAAGTAAACAAAGTTAAGTATAGAACGTATATATCCAGGTTTATAATATGTCTCACACTTCTAATTTAATGTGGAATTCACATGTAATGAAAAAACCACCAGCATTAGTTTACTATAAATTTTTCTCATATTCAATCAGATTGTTACATATCAGATTTTGAAAATTAAGGAGAATGTCTCTTTATAAAGCAGCCATCTTATTTACTGTTCAACAACAAATTATTTTGGAAGTTTTAAGTTCGTGGCACCAGGAAATAACTTTATCTACTGGGATTGGAACATTTATTGGAAATATAGATACGGTAACTTTTGATGGAGACAGCAAACATGTTCAACGTTACCTTGGTATTCCATACGCTAAACCTCCTGTAGGAGAACGAAGATTTGCACGACCGGAGCCATTTGGAACATTTTCTGATGTTTATAACGCAACATTTCATAGACCACATTGTATACGGGTTTCATACCGCCGTTTTATAAACAACCTGGAAGGGCATGGTTCAAAAAAAGGAAGATTGTCTTTATCTCAAACATATTATGTACCAAGTAATACGACTTCAAAAAAACAAAAAGTTTGGGGTTAAATTTTTGAAATTTTTCAGGGCCCGGAAGCCCTTCCCTATTGGGGGGTTGTTTAAATATAAAATTTCTGGAAATTCTAATTTCATTTAATGATGCCCATCGTTTTAAAAATAAAATTATAGACTAAATTTTTTTTGGTTTCTAAGCAATGGGACTAAACCCCCCCGGAAATTAGGATTAGGGGAAATTTTGAGAAGGGCTATTCAAATGGGTTTAAATAAATCAAATTAAGGGAATTTGGGGGGGCCCCCCAAAACCGTGTTACACTTTTGGGGAAATTCGCAGGTGGTCGGGCCGGTCATTTTTACCAACCCTTTTTTTACCCTCGGGAAAAAAGGGTTTTAAATTTAAAAAGGAAAATAGTTGCACAGAGTGGAAGTGTATTGGGTTTCTGGGCGTTTCAAAAGAAACCTACCGAGGTATTCGCCAAATACATCAAAGATACAAATTGCAATTTATCCGACTACGATCAGATAATTGAATGTCTCCGCAGTAAATCTGTTAAACAGTTACAAACTGATTCATGGTCATTCGTCCCAATTATTGACAGAGACTTTTTATATAAAGACCCTTCTCTCCTTCTCTCTGAAGATTCTTTCGAAGGAAAATATGTGCAAGAGTTTTTTGCAGAAATTGATGTTATTATAGGTGCTACTAGTAGTGACGGAGCAGTGAATGTTCCTAGCTGGGAGAAAAAGTTAAAAGAAAAGCAAATAAATATCGAATCAGGGGTTCCTCGGAGTTATTTTGAAAATGTCTATGTGCCAGAAATGCTGAAAACAATGTTTGGGAAAACGTCAAAAGTTTTAACGGAATCAGTCATACATCAATACACAGATTGGACACGACCCCAAAAAGGGGCCCTTTGGGGGACGAGGAGAAATTTTGGGAGAGTTTACCTCCCCATAAATTTTTTTCTTTTTGCCGGGGGAAATTTCTTCTGTCCCAAAAAATAAACGATATTGCGGCAAAGAAATCAAAAATTTAAAACATCATTTTTTTCTTCAAACTTTGACCCGAAGCCAAGTTTTGTTCCCTACCCAGATTGGTTGAAAGGAGCTACACATACCATGGAAGTCGCTTACGTGTTTGGACTTCACGAGTCACTTGAGCGTAAACTTGTGGACGACTTAGGTGGTGTTGACCCTTTCAAGGTAACTCAAGATGACATCAATCTGTCAGCACAAATGATGACATTGTGGAGCAACTTCGCTAAAAGCGGGTAAGTCTTAAACTGTTAAAGCAAGCAGAGTTAATTAAAAACTATAAAAGTTCCTTCGGTCTCATGGTATTGCTGTTGGCGATTCAAATGTAACAAACACTCAGAAAATGATATTAAATATTTTAATTTTGTTTAAACTTATTCTAATGAGTTAAAATCATTCATATATTAAAGCAATGTGTCTGTACAATACTTTCAATTATTATTTCAGGGATCCTAATTCCCCTATAAATGCTACATCGTTTGAATGGCCGCAATACAACACTAACGAGCAGAAGTATCTTAATATCGTAGTTAATATGACGTCACAGTCGGTGAAGCACCATCTAGCGGCCACACGGATAGCGTTTTGGCAAGATTTGGCTCCCATTTTTAAACATTGTAATACTGAACAAATCACTTCAAATGCGCCATACATTTCAGTCCAAATTACAAGTGTTATTGTGATGTTATACCTATATAAACTATTGTTTTGATGTCATGGTGATTTGCATTGTAATTGACGGAAAGCATTGGAATGCACACATTAAACAAATGACAAATATCTACACAAGAACACTGTGCAGGTTGAACGCTTACAATTTATTTTGATTGCTTTTGGTCGCGGTTTAATCATTTACCGACAAGATAAAAATGTATCGTTCACGTGTTTAATTAGAATCTACTCATAAGCCAACAAGTATTCGTGTTCTGCTAAATGGATATCTTATAATTATATTTTATTTTGCCATAATTTTGACTATACTGGTATTGCCATGAAAATTTAACAGACGGTACCTTTTTATGATGAATTATATTGTATTTATTTTATTCATGACAAATAATTATTAGACTATTTTCCAATCATTAACTGAACTTAACCCATAAATCAAACTAAATCACATATTTCTTTTCAATGTTTTACAAGATATAGTACATAAAGATAGCACACCAATACGCACGCACGCACACACACGCGCGCGGGCACACATGTACACACACACACGCACGACACGGGCACCAACCCACACACACACACACCAACACACACAGCAACGTAAGCTTGTACGCACAGCTTAATCATTTCCTTTTGATTTTTTCATATTTGTTTCTTTTTTTCCCTTTTAATTTTATTCAATGAATTTAACATTTACACAAATCCAAGATGCTTAGAAAATATTTCGCTATTGGGGCATAAACATATTACAATGTAATGTCAATATGTTATTTATCTTTTTAATTTATGCTTCATATTAAAGTACCAGTACTTTTAAAAACTTAAGATATTTTATTGATAAATGGAGATAGCACAATTTTATAATACAATCACCCCAAGGGAAGAAAAAATAACTCTTTTGCAAAAAATATCTTACACAGCCCGAATCCGACCCTATTCCCGTGTGTCATACAAGCTCTCAGTGAAAGATCATATCGTCATAACTTTGTTCTAGATAAGAAAACAGGTTATTTTTCAACCAATTGCCAATTAATGAAGATTTCACGCGTGCGTGCAAATATATGCTGTCAACATTTAGAAATCCTGGTTTAACCGCTGGCAATTAATATTCAACAATCTTCGTTAAGAAATTTACGGATGCCCTATTTGTTTTAAAATTGTTGGAAGTAACGGCATTTCGTTTTTGCAAAATACCCCTTCTTGGGCATCGGTAAAGATTTTTTTTGTAAATTAATATAATAATTCCTAAACATTATCTTGGTATCAACTTTTTGTTTTATTGGTAGGAATAACGATTTATGATAGTATGGGTTACATTTGTCTTTTAAAGACATAAAGATTAAAATTTCAAACGGGGGAAATATCGGCACAGCGCCTACCTTGGGGGTTTCAAACGATTCCCGAGGAAAGGTTTGTGGCAATTCCAGCATTCTATAATCAAAAGGCGCGAGCTCCCTTGGTCGAAAAAAATTTCCACTTTTTAAAAATCATAAAAATGTTTAGATATACGCTATTCTGCTCTGAATATTATCTAGCTTTTTGACACTTAAAGTAAGGATGTCATTCGATGGATGGATTCTCGAGCTGGAAGTTATGTTATTTACTGACATTTTTTTTAATTTTTTGTGTTTGATACGACAGCCCAATCTGATTTCAGGACAGAATATGTTGGTTTTTGTTAACATTTTGCAAGTGTTGTAATTTTATGAAGATAGAAAGAAAATGAACATGTAGAACAGACCAAGTTGGATAGGAAGTTAAAACTCTTTTAACAGTCTTACAGTTCTATTGCTTTATATGCTGGAAACTTGATGAAACTTAAATGAAGAAAAGTTAAGATTATTTGTCATATAAATACATTTAAGCTATTTGAAATTGAAATCGTTCATTGGCAATGCTCATGTCTCAGTCAATTTTTAACAAGTCTACTTGTGAAAGATGAGTTTTATTATGCATACTAATGTTTGTGTTACTGCTTAAAGTTGCTTTTTAATGTGTTAGCAGTTGTATGTAAGTTATGCTGTATATTGTCTGTGCATGACTTTTAGTGTAAGAGCACTACTATATCATCTCACTATCTTGTTGCATGTGTCAATGTTCAAGCAGTGATATATTAGTGTTTATTCACCACCTCTCATGTTGCGGAGTTTAGATTATCCAATATAATGACGGCCTCGATCTTTACCAACATGTATGAAAAAATAAAATTTATAAGTCACAGATAAAACCCTTTGGTGATTCTTTTTATGTACATTATTTTTAAAGATGTTTGTCAATAATTTTGTTGAAACCTACATGATATGACTTTTAGTTCATCCCTCATACCTCTAAATTGGCTTTGTTAGTTTATTTAAGATATTTGAGTACGGATCCATAAGCTTCTGTACTTAAGTCACCTTTAATGGACTAGAAGTCGCACCATATTTGAAGTTCTTATTTAATGGCATGTAACGAAGTTAAGACACCCCCATGTTATGGACCTTTCCGGTTTTTCGTGTTCTTTTGTGCAAACCTGGTCAACCAGTGACTAAAAATTATCTCAGTATAGCAATTGGATAACAAGTTAGCCAATTTACATAAAACTGTAAACACTGGAAAGGTCCATTATTATCCTCGGTCTATATCTCTTAAAGATTATGGAGTCCCCGGTCATTATATTATGACCCAAGGTTAAAGTATTAGGACCACAGCACACAACAAAAATGACACTCGTGAAGAATTGTAACCTCCTTTAAATAATGACCCCTGGTCATTTGTTGTCATTTTAAAAAGAAAGGTTGACCTTTTCATATATAGGTGAAGGTTATAACGATTTACTTTAAAAATAATGGAAATAACTGAAACCTTTCCAATAAATGATGATTAAATTTCAAGTATGTTTTTTTTTAAATCTCAAACATTGAATGCAGCAGCTATAAGTGGAAAGATCTTTTCTTCCAGTGTTTTTTTTTCTGTTGATTTTACTAAAGTGAAACATAGCTTGTCGTTAAGTTGTACTCTTACTTTTTGTAACTAGAACTTGAGAATTAACTGATAACTTGGTTAAATATTTCACATGAAAGGGACATATATTTCATTCTTTATCCAAGGCTTTATCCACTTTAAGTCTGTCTCTCAATCCAGAGGTCATGTGCTTGAGCCTTTTTTCACAAGTATAGATAAGCTCTAAGAATCTTACGTTTGGGTGGATCGAATAAGCTTCAATTAGTTTTCATCATGATCGAGCTAGAATAAAATAAATATGTTAAGATAAATATGTTTGAATGATGTCTGAATATTATAAAAATTGGATCATATCTAGCCCGACCTTTTTGAAGAGAAAATATCTAGCAATTGCATACAACATACATGTAGTCCGTTGCCTTTGCTGATTTCGTTTCGAAAACTTCAACATTTGCCTTTATTTACGAGTATTTTTATTTCTTGATGAATTGTCTTTATACATTGACACATCAACCAATTAGGCAATACCTTCAAGTAGACCAGACTGAAGGTTACCTTTGACTCGTAAATGATATTGACATTCAAGGTTAAATGTTTGCTTGATATTTGCTATAATTGGCTATAACTTTGTTGTTTTTTGTTTGGATAGTCAGCATACTTGGATTCATCATTTCTTTCGATCAAGTAGATCAAATTGACCATGACGTGAATTCACCAATGCCATTTACCTTAAAGGTCAAATTATTGAATTTTGCTTGATTTTTGTTAAAATTGGTATTTACTTTGGTTTTTTTTACAACTTTAACGTCGTCATAATTGAACGCAACCCATATTCATCGTATGGGAACGTTTAGTCGTACGTAGCGATGAACGGACTAATTTTAAAAATTTAAAAAGGGGATTTTGTTTTTCAATGTGAAAAAGGAAGAAAACCCTCAACTCAGTATTTTTATTTTTAAGTTTTAATGTCTTTTTTATCATATGGGGTGGTTAATTTCCCATTTTCCCTTTTTTTTTATTATGAAACAACAAACAAATTGCCAAATTAAGATTTATAAAATTAAAATCATTTTACGTTTCTTATGAAAAAATTTTAAGCCCCCTCGTATGTTTTATACTTTAATTTTCCTGTTTGTTTATTTTATTGATACTTTTCTATCGCCTATATTATAGTGATAGAAATAGTTAATTCTTTTAAATATCTTGGTTTAACCGTTTTTAAAAATTGGCAATGAATTGGAAAGTGGTATCGATCACAGAAAAAAATCGCGCAGCATGCTGGTTATGCGTTACACAGTCTCTTTAAAATAAAAAATAACATTGAACTGCCAATATATCAGAAATGTAAGCTGTTTGATTCCTTGGTATCACCTACATTTGTATTTTAAAATTCGGATCGGAAATATGAGGTATGCACCCTGCTATTATATCAGAAATGTAAGCTGTTTGATTCCTTGGTATCACCTATTTTAAATTTCGGATCGGAAATATGGGTTATGCACCTTGCTATCGATATTGAGAATGTACACACGAAATTTCTGCGCCGTATGTTAGGTGTAAAAACATCTACAACTACGGAGAACTTGCTAGAAAACCAATGTCCTATGTTCGTAAGATTAATATGATAAAATACTGAGTGAAAATATTGCATCAAGATAAATTGTCACTTCATAAAAAGGTTTACATGAGGCTGGAAACTGATTGCTAGCTAGGTAATGCTTACGAGGGTAACTGGGCTTTTCAAATAGAGTATTTTGTAAGAACGTGGGTTTCTCTATGTCTGGATGCAACAATCCAATATATACACACAAATACCTTTTCAGAGATTAAAGTGACATTATGCTCATATTTTTATAGTCAAGTTTAGCTGAACTGACTATATATTTCAAAAGATTTACTGTTAAAATGATGATTGACCAACAGTTCATAATAGAAAATGTTTAGGATAAAATCTAAATCTGCCTAAAATATAAAAAGACTGCCCCACTCTATATATGGAATGAACGGTACATGTTAATTCTAGTGGATATTTACGGAAATTTTGTTTGAACTGTTGAATCCATGCGTTGTTTATTGTTAGTGTGAAATAAACATTTATATTTAAAGGAATGTTGGCAAAATAATAACTTATTATAACATTCACTTGTTTATTTATTTATACCCTTAGATGATCATCATATATCACTTTAAACAACGAATAATTGATATGGTATTCAGAAGTGGTTAATTATAGACGTTTAGAAACATATAGTTTGTACAAACATGCTTTCGAAAGAGATCGGTATTTGGAAGTTATAACT